CATGTGGATGATATCCTAGACAAGCTTGGGGAAGCATGACTATTTACCAAGATTGATATGAGGAGTGGATATCATCAGATTGCAATGGATGATGCATGTATCTCCAAGATGGCATTCAACACAAGCTTTGAACATTTTGAGTTTACAGTTATGCCATTTGATTTGACGAATGCACCAGCCACATTTACTCAGTTGATGACGGAGGTATTTGGGCGTCATCTTCATGAGTTTGTGGAGATTTTCTTGGACAATATTCTTGTTTTTAGCAAGAATATGGAGGAGCATAAGGTGCATTGTGCAAGGTTCTTTTGTTACTCTGAGACAGCAAACTTTATGCAAAGAAGAGCAAATGTGAGTTTGCAAAGTCGGAGGTGGAATATCTAGGCCATATTGTGACATTTAAGGGTGTCAAGACGGATCCAAGGAAGGTGGCTATAATGGAAAATTAGCCTACACCGAGTATAGTGGCCAAGTTGCGCAGTTTTCTTGGTATAGCTAGTTACTACCAATGTTTCCAGCATAAGTTTGCAGAGGTGGTTATTCCTTTGATGCAGTTGTTACGCAAGAAATATGCCATTCGAGTGGAAGAAGCCACAAGAGGAGAGTTTTGTGGCACTGAAACGATTGTTAAGTGAGACTCCAATGCTTTGCATTGCTGATCCATCGAAACTTTACAAGGTGACATGCGATGCGAGTGGTTATGCACTGGGAGGAGTTCTCATGCAAGAGGGACAGCCTATTGCATATGAGAGTCAAACTTTGAATTCCGCGGAGCAACGCTATTCCACATATGATGTTCGTGGTGTTGAAAGATCATAAACCACTTGTGTATCTTTTCACACAAAAGGAGTTGAACACTAGGCAAGCTCGTTGGATGGTCAAACTCATGGATTTTAGGGAGTTTCCTATTGAGTATCGTCCAGGAAATCAAATGTGGTGGTAGATGCTTTATCTCGTGTTTGTCATGTGACGACATTACAAACACAATTTTGTCATCACTTGAGTAAGGTGGTCAGCAAGTTTGGGTAGTTGGTTGAGTATGCTCAGGCTCAGGATGCTAAAGTGGCATCTTTGCAAGACTAGATAGAAGCCCCTTTCTCATTGGTGGATGGGATTCTCTATTACAATGGCCATGTATATTTGCCACAGATGGATGCGTTAATTACTCAAGTTTTATTCCACTATTATGATCGTCCAGAAGCCAGTCATTTTGGGGGGAAGAACACGTATGAGTTGATTAAGTGCAATTTTTATTGGAGGAATATGAAAAGTAATATCCTCAAGTATTGTAAATCATGCGAGCTTTGTCAGTGGGTTAAGGTGCCACGGGAGAAGCTAGGGGGACTTTTGCAACCTTTACCTATTCCTCAGAGCCATTAGTGTAGTATCTCTATAGACTTTATCACTTGTTTGCCACAAACATAGAGGCAAAAGAAGCAAGTATAGGTCATATTGGATCGATTGACGAAGTATGTGTGGTTGTTGGCTCTTCAGAAGACTATCATTGCCTCAGACTTCACTGTAGTTTACTTGGAGAAGGTTTTTCCTGATTTTGGTTTGCTGGAGGACATTATTAGTGATCGAGATTCAAAGTTCACCAGTGGATTTTGGAAAAGTTTTGCAAAGGCTATGTAAGTGACTTTGAAACTCTTGATTGGAGATCATCCTCAGACAGATCGGTAAACCAAGCGTGTGAATCAGGTGGTGGAGGATATGCTACGTTGTAGCATTGGTTAAAGGCAAGGACAGTGGGATCTATATCTTCTGTTGGTGTAATTTGCTTACAACAATAGCCAACACAATGGAACCAAACTAAATCCTTACTTTGCCATGTTTGGAAGGCATCCTTGAATAGCGGTGGAGTTGGGATTGCATTTGAAACTTGATGAGATTCTGGTGGTGTGCAAATGGAATTTGCGAGTAGCTCAAGATAGAGCGGAGAAGTTTGCCAATGAGCATCACCAATTCCGGGAATATAAGGTGGGTGATTTCATCTTTGTGCGAGTGATCTTTCCGTCAAGTGAGCAGTGGAATACCTTGGTGCCTTTACGGATAGAGAAGAGTGATAAACTTTCCCATCAATATGCTGGTCCATATGAAGTGCTGGAGCACATTGGTAAAGCGGCTTATCAGGTGCAGTTGCCAGCTGGGGTGAAAATTCATCTAGTATTTTATATTAGCCAATTGAAAGGTGTACTATCTCGGAGTGATGGGCCCAATGCCTCCTTGATGTATACGGCTGTGGAAGATGGACCAGGAGCTTGAGCAAGGTTCCCTAGAAGGGTGATCACCGGTACAACTCGTCCTTGGGACAAGGACTTTGTTGGGGGGGAAGAATTGTTAGGCACCAGCTTTGACCACATGGTC